AGATAAAACTCAAGAATAATTTTCATTTTTCAAACAAAATAAAAACTTAATAAATAATTATTATTTTCTAAGTAATATATAAAACTCATAAAATAATAATCAAAATTATTTTTATATAAAACTTAAAAAATAAAAATTATTGCGTTAACCGAAATGCATCTTTTGAGAAACAATTTTTATATTCAATTAAAGGTATGGCCGTTATTTAGAATTAGTGCATTCAACAATATTATTATGTAATACACTTGTTTTCCAAAAGTTTTTTGTTGAAACCAGATACCAACTTACGAAATAAAATCAATTTCAATGTTTTTTCTGATTATATCTGACGAATAAATTAAATATGGTGGGAAAAACTTATTCATTTATACGTATTTGTCTGTAAAAAGAAAGGATTTGTTGTGTCAGTTGTTCGGTGTTTTTCAGTACTTTAAAACCTGTCAATAACATAAAACAAATTTTAATTAATTTTTTAACAAACATTTATACATCTACATTTAAGTATTTATGAAGAAAACACCCACGAAAGGGGTCTTTCAGAAACAATTTTTTTTTTGTTTTAAATAAAAAAAAAAAAAAAAACAGAGTGATGTATAACTAGAGAAACAAAGTTTTTGCAAAAATGTTTACATTTTTCCTTTCCGATAACTTCATATAATTCAAACTTAATTCTTTACAGGCTTTAATTAATTTTATTACATATTTACCCAGCAAAAATTTTCATTACCTAGTAATCTAGAAAGTAATATTGGAATCACGTGGAAACTAATTAATTTTGGGGTGAATATCTAATTATTTTTGTTCGACGAGGTTCAAATAATATGTACCTACCTTAAACAAATTAATAAATGGTTACTAATTTGATTACAAAAACTTTGCGAAATAACTAGTTACAAATAAACCTACAAATATGTTATGTGATAGCTAGTTATTTTGGGCCGACTTTGTATGTAGAAAACAAAAAATAAAAAAATTTCTCGGCCGGGAATTTGAACCCAGGCATTCAGTTGTTTTCTATGTTTCTCACTACAGCCGCTTACTCGATGCTCCATTAACATGTTGCTTTTTGAGAACGACTTTTTACAAAAATATATAAATGAATGTAATTTTGAAAAAAAAAAAATAAACAGTATCCAGCAGGGCTCGAACCACGAACCTCCTGTTTGTTAAACGAATGACCTAGACAATTGAGCCATAACAAATCCAAATTGTTTTGTTCTTTACCAGTAATAACCTATTCAGCTAAATGAAATATGTGGATGATAATGAACACTCATTACCAAGTAATGTATGAATAACTACTGGCTATTACCAAAAATTTCAGATTTTTGCTGGGTATGAATTAAAAAATAATTTAATTTGTGTTATAAAGATATATGTATGTATGTTGTTGTATGTATGTATGTATGTATGTATGTATGTATGTTGTATGTTGTATGTATGTATGTATGTATGTATGTATGTATGTATGTATGTATGTAATGTATGTAGGTATGTATGTATGGTATGTATGTATGTATGTATGTATGTATGTCTGTACTGTCTGTTAGTCTGTATTCATGTAGTCGTATAGTCTGTCTGTATGTCTGTCTGTCTGTCTGTCTGTATGTCTGTATGTCATTATGTATGTCTTGTCTGTATGTATGTCTGTCATGTCTGTTCTGTCTGTCTGTCTGTCTGTCTGTATGTCTGTCTGTCTGTATGTCTGTAGGTCTGTCTGTACTGTCTGTCTGTCTGCTTCTGGCTGTATGCTGTCTGTCTGTCCGTCTGTCTGTCTGTCTTCTGTCTGTCTTGTACTGTCTGTCCTGTCTGTATGTCTGTCTGTCTGTATGTTCGGTCTGTCGTATGTCTGATGTCCCCTATGGAGGTCTGTCTGATGTCTGTACCTTCTGCACCATGTTGTCTTTCTCTTTGGAGCGACTGTCTGTCCTTACCGTGGCTAAAGTCTCAAACCATCTTTTACATTTCCGTTTTCCCCACGAAACGTTCAACCTTTTCCTTCGATCGCACCCCATCCCTCCTGAGCCCATTTCTTTGTATATGTATGTATTGACGTTGTTGTCAGAGGTGTGTGTGGGTTTTAATATTTTTCATTCGTTTTATGTCCTTTCTTGTTGTTTGTGCCTCTGCTGCCTTTTAAAGATTGTCTCGGTATTTAAGGTTATTTATGGTATTGTCAGTATGTAGGCGCCCAAAATATTTAACCGCAATAATTGAATGACTGTATAAAGAGTTATAGCGAGGGTAGGGAATATCTGGAAGAGACGAAAATGAGGAAAAGACAATTAAATGTACACATGTTTGTATATAAGAATGGATATACAGTCAAATTCGTTTATAACGAACTCGGTTATAACGAATTCTCGGTTTTTATGAACTATTTCTCAAGTCTGACATTTTGATAACCATTTTCATATAAAAAACATCTTTTATAATGAATCCTCGCATAAAACGAACTACTTATCGGTGCCCCAGGTACGATTTCATTAAATTTTCCTTATTTTATAACGAAATTCAAAAATTTGGTGTTGAATTCATAAGAAAATATACAGCTTTGTTTGAAAAGCACTAATTTGTTAAAAAAAAATATATGAACAAATAAAATCAATGGTGATTTTTTATAATGAAACTGAAATAAATGTATAATTCATATTCTTTTAATATTTAAAGTGCAGAAAATGCCACTATATTTTTTGATCTACAAAAACTTCTCTTGCTTATAACGAAGAATTTTACTGGTCAACGGAGTTCGTTAAAAACGTGTTTGACTGTAATAATGAATGAAGATGAACCCGTGCCTATGTGCATAAAACTAGAAAACACTCAACGGAAATGCTTGTTTTTTTGCAAGTGAAAGTAATTGTTTATGTGTTTGAATGTTTGTTCAATAACTGCAATTTTCAAGGACTTCTGAAAGGTTAAAGAAAAAAAATATTAAGTATATTTTACGCAAAATACATACATATATAAGAATGTATACATTTTCGACAAAAACATAAATATAAATGGCATCTTTGGTTAAATTGTATTCAATTTATATTCATATTATGAAAAATGTATTTTATTAGTATGATATTTTTATTCGGTATTTATTCTCCTTTACTCTGCTTTTATGTTGAGTGTATATAGTGTCAAATATTTAACATTAAGTTTAGCGTGAAATTAACTACTTTTTATTTTATCTGACAGCATGCAGTCCAACATAATACACTTGCAATGTATTTTATTTCATTTTTTCTCTTTTTTTGGCTAAATACGTGTATTGTGTAATCATTTATTTGCTGCAGTTGAAATATATTACAGCATTTTAATGCATATATTTCGTTCATTCATGTTCTTTCCGTTCTGTATTTTTGAACATGAGAAATTTTTCTTTAAGCTACAGCATTACTTTTCTCTTTGTAAAACATAATCTACAAATGTTGAAGAAAAAATTGCCATAGATTTTTCAGAATGATAAATGACCTTTAGAACAGTTATGTTCCTTATGCGGTCGCACTAAAACTGTATAAGATTTTATGTACATTAGAGGACCCCAAAAAATATCGATTTTCTTTTTTTCTTGTAGACTTATTTTCTTTATTCTAACTGGTGTAGTAAAATTTTAAGTAGTTCAATTGTATAACGGGAACCCGTGCGGGAAATCGATTAAAAGTAATAAAGTGATATCCCTTTTTTGGATTTTTCCAAAAATAATTAAATCTATATAATTAAATAAACTAAAAATGCATGTTTTTGGCCATATTTGAGATTTTACAACAGCGCCGTTTAGATTCGGAATCAGCGCTGCTCAATTCATTAGAAAGGTATATTATGATCTCTAGGTTAAAAATTTGGTGGCCTGTACTATTTTGTTTTCACAATTTTCACATGTAAAACAATGAGAAAACAACACAAAAATTCATATTTTCTGAATATACTTATGTGTATATGGGTGTATATAACATTGTTATTTGTTCTTCGATGTTAATGTCTTAACCTAAATGATAAGATTTATTTCGAAAGTTAAAAACTTTTGAGAAAACTTTTACGCTGTTGTCCGATTGGATTAAAATTTTACACCGGCTATTTTTAAATACTAATGAACGAAATAAAACCCATTCAAAGTTGATATTTATTGGACCCTCTAATGTACATTAAGGTGGCCCCAAAATGGAAGTCGCTGATGTTCCCACCGAAAATGAAAATTTATTTCATTCTAAGATACTATTTCTCAAAATTTTGACGTCAATATTTGGTGAGCTAGATCAAAGGATAAAAATGTCCTTTTTTAAGGTTTTTTTTTTGATTTTTTTCATATTTCTGGCAAATAAACCATGCACAAATTTGGTATCATATGAAAGGTCTTTGAGAGATGATTTCAATGACATAACACAAATTTGTATACAACTCCAAAATTATTACAAATGTCGTAATTTTTCGGAAAATTTTTAAGTTTTTAAAATTTTTACATAGAATTACAAATTTTAGCAAATTATAAAAAATATTTTTTTGTTTCAATGTTAATGTTAAAAATATAATGCTTACAAAAACGTTGTACTAAGAAAAATATCAATTACTTAGTCAATTGTTAACGGATTTTTAAGAACAAAGTTGAACTTTACCCAGAATATATGTACATAGTTTTCTAATGAATTAATAAGTAGTAGGGCTCTTTTATAAAATAGAGTTGTAAAAATATCCGAAAACTTGGAAAACGATGCAAAACTAAAGTCAAAAATATGTTAGTTTAAGAAATGCACAAATATTTATCGACGTTACTTAAACATCATATATGTATGTATATCCTTATAAAGGCCTCAGTTTCCACTTTCTAAATCCGTTGAGACCTAAGGTAAAATAGTAAAAACAAGAACAGTATAATTTTATTTTCTAAATTTCTAAAATAACATGACATTAAAAAAAAATATTTTGTATAAATATTCAATATAAATAGTTTACTGTTCTTTTACAAATTTAATCGCTTTGTAAAAAAGACTAAACTCCATCTGACAACTTACCTATAACATAGGAATAACCATCTAAAGTTAAAACACATTTTCTGGTTGTTGTACCACCCGCCATACTCGTTAAACGCAATGATCTGCCCAAGCCTGACTTTGAAAAAGAACCTTGACCACTTGGACTGCTGTCGTCGTAGTTAAAACTTTCTCTACGCTGGCAACCATCATTAACATCGAACTCATTACACAACTCTGCATCCGTTTTTATATCTGACTTTGAGGTTGTCATCACACCATCCGAAGAGTGATCACGTTGCGATCGTGTCTCCGAACCGCGAGAACGATTTCGCGATAAACGTTTATCGGAACCACAATTGATGGATGAATCGGAGCCACAGGAATCATTAAGAGATTTTGTAGCTTGAATACCCTCTAGGCTTTGTGGTTTTTCACGGCGCGGTTTTATTGCATCAACTTTTTCACTCATTTTTTTATAAACGTCGTAACTTACGAAAGGGAAGATTCATTAAAAAAACAATTTTGAACGTAACCGTTTAAATGCTTTTAAGTCTTATTTGAAATCCATGTTTAAAGCGTAAAAGTTATTTTATGAAACCAGCTGTCGCTACATACCTGATGAAGTTTATATCTGTATTTGTGTTTGATTTTAAAACTCAAATTTTTATAGTATTTTATTTTACTTTATTTCATTATTCACAATAACTGTTTAAAGAATAATATAATAATAATTTTTTAAGATAAAATAAATAAAACAAATTATGTAATTTGAAAGAATTTGTTAAAACTCTTTGTTTTATTAAAAAAAATTATTTATAAAAAATATCAAATCAAAGTTTTTTTAAATTTTTCCATTAAAACCGTATTTAGGGTTGGCATTCGAATTGAAGAAAAAAATATTTTTTCTTCGAACGAATAACATTTTTGCAATTCAGAATAAAGAATAATTCGAAAAAATTTCGTGCATTAATCGAATATTTCAATAATATTTTATAGTTATTTTTTACAACTATATTATTATAGCAACGAAAAAATATGTTAAAATGTTGTAAAACAAGAAATAAACCTAACCATCTGTTATAATTCAAATAAAAAGTTAATTTTTGCAATTTATACAATTTATAAATAATTTATAAAATTTTTTTAAATCGTAAAAATAAATGTTTATTGTATAAAAGTAATTTTTAAATTTTTTTTATTAAAAATTAAATTAAATAGGCAAAAATTGGGGCACACAGCGATATATAAATAGAGGGAAATCTTTCTGAAACTCCTAAATGGTTTGCCCGATTCTAATGAAATTTCACATACATACGTAAAGAGGAAGTGTTTTCAAGAAAAAATCACTAATATAGAATCCCCATGTCCTCGTCGTAGCTACATATTATCTCTTATAGCTTTGGAGATATTCGCAACTGAAAATTAAATATTTAACGTTTTTATCGATTCAAAAAGATGTATGTAAAATTTATATTTTTGGAAAAGCCAATTTTTTAAGAACTATTTCAATTGGAAACAAATATAAAAGATTCAACTTTAGAGCAAAAATTCTCAAATCGCATAATCGATATTAAATTATATGTTCTTAATTATTCTGTAAAGGGTTTTGATAACCCCGCGAATGGTATGGATATTACGGCAAAAAAAAAAAAACTAAAAAAAATAAATTTTGTTAATTTTTAAAACTTTTTCACAATTTATTTTAGTTTTACATTCACAGAAAAAACTAATTTTAAAAAATTTTCAATTAAACGATAAATCAAAAAATTCATTTTGTGTGTGAATCATAAAAATGTGTAATCACCCTGTAGGATTTTGTGAGTTAACTAAAAATCAAGTTAACTTTTTGATAACTTCTTATGACTAGCTTGAAAGTAACTCAAAAATGATCGAGGAAATGAACAAACATTTCAATAAAATTTTAAATAAAAAATAAAATAGAAACTCGTATCAAATTTGTCAAACAATTTGTATTGAAAAAATGAAATTATGAAAATGAAAATTTGTTTCAGCAATGAAAAATGAATTTATTATTATTAAATTTACATTTTCAGGAATATAAGACATAGATAATGGTGTATATAGGAAGGAAATGTTGCTGCATGTTGAACGCATTTATAATCACTAACAATTTGTTAAAAATAGTATAAAAATATAAGAAAATTGCACAGGTAACTCACAGCTGATCTTTAATTTATGCACTAGAAGCTAACTCATCTTGAGGTAACTTCTGGTTAACTGAAACTGATGTATAGTGAGTGAGTACTGACTCGTTCCTATGACATCACATTGAAAAACTGAATAGTATTTTATAAGCAAAATGGTTAGCTTTTGAGTCACCTCTGACTCATTTGTGGTTAACCATAAGTTAGTTTTAAGTTAACTCAAAATCCTACTGGGCAAATACGTATTTAACAACAACAAAAATAGAAAAAAATAAAAATTTTGTGTATGAAATCAGTTATAAGCAGGGAAACCAAAATATGCAAACGCATGTTTTTTGTGGATAAGATATGCATGTTTTTCATGGATAAGATATTTACACGTTTCAGACCAATTTAAGAATTTTGGCATCGATTTGTTAGATCATATTTCTGCATATTTTACCCATAAGAGCATAATTTTGCATGATTTCACTTTTGTAGCATATTTAAGGCATATTTTCGAGTTTTTAGAGTATATTTTACTCTTTTAGTGCATATTTTGAAGTTTTTCGCTTTTTCCATTTTCGTAGATTTTTAATTTTCTTTTCAAAACTTTATTTAAACAAAATCAAATTTAAATTTTTTAATTTTTTTAATTTTTTCGCCTATTTTATAATTTTGAAAAAAATTATTTTCATTTGTAGAACTTGAAAACTGCAAAAAATACATTAGTCTCATGAAAACCAATGTTATAGTTTTTTATTCAATTGCTTTAGATTTCATGAGGCCAATGCATTTTTATCGTTTAAAAAACTAGTATTTATAACACTGTTAGTATGTCAAAAAGACACAGAAAATGCCGAGACACCAAAACTTAATTTTGGGTCGTAGAAAAAAGTTTTCACGCATACACATAAGAACTAATAATAAAAAACTAAAAATATGTGCATAATTAATTCAAATGGACTCTAGTTTCATGTATTTATATATTTTTCTATGCGTGAAAATGTTTTTTTTAATTAAATAATCAAAAAACACCTCAGAAACAGTGTAAATTCTAAAATCCAATATCTCCCGATTTTGACCCAACTTTTCAAAACGGAGTATGCCACTAGATTCTACGACCGAAAATTAAGTTCACGTGTTTCGGCGTTTTTCTGTGTCTTTTTCAAATTTTACTTACAGTGTAATTATTGGATTTTATGACAACACCGATTAAAATGTCAGTTTAGAAGCTATGAATACAATTGGAAGAAATGTGTTAAACTTTGTCGTTTGAAATATGTTTTTTTGGGGACCAAATGGCTTCACGTTATTTATTTGTTATCTGAACGTAAAACTGAGTTCTATTAAACTAGTTTTTCAAACTATGAAATGAATCAATCATAAAAAAATCTTCTAGGATGAAATATGACATTAAATATTTATTATTTCATTACAATTTCAGTCTTTTTGAGCTTTTCAATGTTTTAAAAATAATAAAAAAAAAATTATTTTTGAAATATTTTTAAATTTTTAGAGCATATTTTGAGTTTCTTATGGCATATTTAAAGCGCTTAAAACACTTTTTTTAGAGCATATTTTCGGTTTCCCTGGTTATAAGTTGTAAATGAATATACAATTTTTGTTATAGCTTGAACTTCAATAAATAAAATAATTGAAAACGAGGTTCTGTTAATTGAAATCGTTTTTCAGTTTTTTCTTTATTCTCAATGAAAAAGTCTATGTAACTGTAATTTTTTTTTAATATTCATATATAGAAATTTTATTCTGAATTGCTAAAAAATAAATTTCTGAAAAGTTTACTTAATTTCCAATCCATTGATATACATTTAAAACGTCTAACTTGTCCTGTTCACATGATAAATTTAGGAGGAAATATTTAACATCTCATTGTAATTTTCGCGAAGACGGGAAATATTTGAATCCGCTTTTATCAAAATACTGGACTGGGGTCCAGTTTTAGTGCTTTAGTTTTAGTTTTACATTAGGAAATTTTATTTAGCAATTCAGAAATTAATATAAGACTTTTTTAAAAAATGTGACAAAAATAGATTTTTGTTGAAATTTTACGGAGGCAACAATTTTAAAATATAAATAAAATGTCTATTTAAGAATATTTTTAACAAAAAATTACAATTATATAAACTTTTTCCATAAGAATGTAAAATTAAAAAGAAATTGTGAAATTTGTTATCACGAATCCCTCAATTCTCAAAAATGTTTTGAAAAATTCCAAAAATGGGGTTTTTTAGCTATAATATCCACACCAGAGCCGGGGTTATCGAAACCCTTTACGAAATAATTAAGAACATGTTGGGCCATCTAAAATGGGTTATTATATTTCGATATCGACTTTGCGATTTGAGAATTTTTGGACATACGTTTAATATTATATAAAAAATTGTATTTTTTTACATGGACTTGGTACTCTCAACATGCAAAATTTTGATTTTTTTTTTAATTATCTTATATATCTTCCTAGAAATTTTTAAAGATAACACAAGTTAAATTATTAATATTTTCAACTCAGAAAAAAAAAATTCAATAATATAAAATTTAGGTCTTCATTAACCCACATTTTACCAGATTTCTTACTTTTAAAGTATAATACATTTCGAAAATTTTATTCACATTTTATTCCAGAATTACAAACTTACGGATCTGAATTTATCCCTCACAGTTCAAACTCTTGAAAGTGTGAGTGATAAAAATGGCATCCATTTACCAAGATTTAAAATTACTGCAACGTAGTTTTTAATATTTTTGTGGCAGGAATCCATTTTTAAAGTATTGTGAGGAAGATCGGTAAAATTTGTTATATAAAAAATATCTACAAATCTAAAAAATATTAAATTTTTTTCTTCCGAATTTAACCCTTTTTAACAATTTCTTTCCTTATGAATAATTCAAAAATTTTACGTCTTAGATTTTTTAATGGACTTAGACGGTAAAAATAAAGAAAACCATGTAGGTTTTATATCATAAGCAAAATCGTAAAATTTCATTAAAATCGGACCAACCGTTTAGAAGTTACAGAATTATTTCCCTCTATTTTTTTTCTTTACCACTGTGCAAAGCTTTAAGATACCATCGTACCTTATAATATCTACATACATAGCTTGTAAAATATTTTACAGATGACTACTTAGTACGGGTGAGTTTCTGTATTTGTCTGAATAAATACACAACACAAACAATTTAAGTCCTCTTTAGTATATACAAAAGATGCATATGTAAATACAGTACTACTTTTGATGACTAGAACCCAGCAAACATTTCATTCTTGTTTTCGGATTTCTTTTTATTTAATTTATATTCATATTTTTAACGTTTCTCAATAAAAAATAAAAAACTTTTCTCATCAGAAAATTTAAAAGTGATCTTTGCCTTTAAATAATAAGATCAAAATATGAAATTGGACAATGTAAAATTACATGTAATTTTCTCCACTTGAAGTTCTTTTAAAGGAAAAACGATCAGAAAA